ACCAGAGGCAACGCTGAGGCTGGACTGGCCTTTGTGGTTCCTATGATGATTGCAAGGCATTCTCAGCAACAACCACCAGGGAACTTTGAAAAAACAAGGCTTATTACTCAGAGCTCTCAGAGGGTACACAGCACGCCCAGGGCCACACAGCACTGTCACGGGTAAGGGAGAGAGAAAGAGCGCAGACCCAGGGCTCTACCCTTATTGGGGTCCAGGGTGGGGTGCTTAGGGTTTCACCAGTTCAATCTTTATTGGCAAATTTAAAACATAAGAACAGGAATTAGGCACTCTAACTAGGGAGAAGTGGGGTCATCAAATGACCAGTTATCTAGGTCACCTTGGGCTTTCTAGAAGGGGAACTGCATGGGTGGACCTGCCCTTTATCTAGTAGTGTAGCTGGGAACATGCCTATGTGAGGTGGATGCCTTTTAAATAGTTGCCTTGGCAATGGAAAGCTTAATGCCAGGCACTTACATTACAATCAAAAAGGCTTACTGTCAGGCACTTTCACTCCAAAGACCTAAATACATATCAAGTCTGTGATAAAAAGACTCAATACCATAAGATGTCATGTGTCCCCAATCTGTAATCTATAGATCCAATTCATGTCCAACATAAATTTCATCAGAGTATTTTTGGGAAAGCCTGATGAGCGGATTCTAACATGTATATGGATGAGCAGAGGACCAAGAACAGCCAGGGCCCCATGAAGAAGAAAAGCTGGCACCTCGCCCTTCCAGCTGTTCTTGTCTAGAATTCTAAAGTCTGTGTAGTTAAGACAGGGGAGATTGAAATTGGAGTAGAAAAAAGGAGCAGAACAGAGAATCCCGCAAGAGAGAGCCCATGCCTGATGGAGACCTTACTTGTCAGAACAGGCCCTGCAAGTACGTGGGTGGGAGGGACAGCTTAATGATTTCGGTGGCAGCACCAAAAACCACATGGAGAAGATCTGATTGGATACTTATGTAGGAAAATATATACAGAAGTCAACTGTCTGTGATCAAGGCCCTAATGGTTAAAGATGGAGCATTCCAGCTTTGATACTACATGTGTAACATCAGGAAGGCCTCCGAAATAAGATGCAGAAAGATTAAAAGGTTGATAAATTTGACTAACTTAACATACCATTTATCAAAAAATTTTTAAAAAAATGAACAAAGTGAAATAGCCACAAACTTGAAGAAGATATTTGCAACACATGGAGCAAAAAAAATATGTATATCAGAATATATTTGAAAACATGAATCAAATGGGTAAAAAACACAAAACAGATTTCACAAAGAAAACATAGGCAAGGCAAAAAAAAGCCCCTTTGTTTAGTGATGTCTGCCCAGAAGGTACAACTACAAAGCAAACAATGCAATGATTATCATAAAGTTCAGAATACCACCTGTGGGGAGAAAGTGAGCCTTTGGTGAGTCGTGCGCCTAGAAGGTTCTGACGTTTTCCTCTGTGTTAAGCTCAATGTTTGCTACATACATGCTTGTTTTATTATTTTCCAAGTGTTACGTATACTCTTTTGCACATAAAGCAAGAATAAGGAAGTGATGTGCACTAGCAAAGAAACTCCCACACTTAGTGGGAACACGGCTCATTACTAACGTGACCTCTTCTGGCTCCTTCTGTGGAAACCTCATCACGCATGTAGTCCTGCTTGTCTGCCTCAGCAGTGGCCACACCAGGAGCCCATTCGCAGTGCCGGGCACCAGCCCTGCCTGGTGGAGTCCCGGAGCCTGCTGTCCTGCTTAGGGATGCCTTCCCTGCCAGCCCATCCCATCTCCTGAGACGTCTGCAGAGGCCTCCCTGTGAGGGTACATGGGTTCTGTTCCATCTGGAGTTGGCGTCAGGCTGCGAGCCAAGCACACAGCCTTGTCCAGAAGGCATTGGGTGCTGTGTGTGGCAGCTGGGAAGATACAGAGGCGGGTGTGCAGGTTTACCTTCAGGGCCCTCAAGAGCCATGGGGAACACTTGAGCTCCCCTGTTCCTTAAAGCCAACTGCTCCTCTGGAAGTGCTCTTGCTGAGGTGAACAGATGCCACGAGGCCCCGAGGCCACTTCTCAGCTGTCGTCTGAAGCCTGTGACACAAGCCCCTGTGAAGCACACTCCCCATGTCCTCCCACTGCAGTGGCCGCTGCTCCAGTGGCTCTGCAGCTCCCTCCTCACCTTCCCAACCTCTAGGCCCTGCAGCACCCTCCCCTCCACCAACATTCACTCTGCAGGTGACCCTGTCACCAGCCCCTGCTTCAAGTGACATCTGTGTGCCGATGCCTCAAGAAGTCACATCCTCACCAGGGACCAATCCCATGAACTCCTGATTTGTGTGGCCCACTGTCTGCTCAGCATCCCGAGGAGACCTCTCATAGGCCTCTCAACTCTGAAATGTCAGCACCTGAATGCTGCTGTTTCCTCAGAAGCTGGGTTGTTCCAGAATCTTTGCCATCCTAGAGTACAAATGAGCCATCCAGATGCCTGGTTTGGTCACCCTCTTCCTCTCACAGCTCACATCTGATTTGTTAGCTGATTGGATGACCCTTTCCTTTAAAATGTATCCCTATTTTCTCCTCTTTTTACCACTTCCAGCCACTATCATCTTTCACCTGAATTATTTTAATATTGCCCTAAGCACTCTCCTGTTTCTGTTCTTTCCCCCCCTGCATTCTAGTCTCCTGTTTCAGCCAGATGGGTCCTTTTACAGCATGAACTAGGCTATGTCACTTACTTGCTTATCCCCGCCCCTGCCTTCCTGGCTAGCTCAGAGTAAAAGGCAAAGGCCTTAAATAGCCTTGAGGCAACGTTTATGTAGTCTTTTCCTCTGCCCTCTGCTGTCTACCCTGTCCAGCCACACTGCCCACCTGCCTTCTCCTCAGGCATTGTAGGCACACTCTTGCCCCAGGACATGTGCACTTGCAGTGCCCTTTTCTGGGATACATGTCCTTCTGACAACCACGTGGCAGGCTCCTGCACAGCCCTTGGGTCTCTTAAGTTATGCCTTCCCAGATTACCTTATTTAAAATAGCACCTCTTTCCTCTTCATAGCTTATATTTCTCCATAGCACTTACTACCACCTCACATGTAACATGTCTTATGTATATTTGTCTCCTTCCTCTGGGAGAGAGTCTTCTGTTTATCAGTCCATCTACCTGTTCCAGTTTTCTACTGCCATGACAAATTATCACAAACTTAGCAATTTAACTGAAGCAACACGTTTATTAAGTAACCTTATTGTAGTGATCATTTTGCAATATGTATCAATACATATATAAAATCATGATGCTGTACACTTTAAACTTATACAATGATACATGTTAATTATATCTCAATAATCAAAAACGTGTTATCTTACAGTTCTGTAGGTCAGAATACAGTGGATTTGCCTAGTGTTTCAGCTCTGGGTCTCCCACGGCCAGAATCATGGTGTCAGCAGGGCTGCTTTCCCTTCTGGAGGCTCTGGGGGCAAATCCACATCCAGCCTCTCTCAGGCTGTTGGCAGGATTCAGTTCCATGGGTTGTAGGTTGAGGTCCCTGTCTCCTGCTGACTGTCACCTGAGGGAGTCATTCTTGCCTTCTATGGGTGGCCCACATACCTTGGCTCATGGCCCCTTCCTCCACCTTCAAAACCAGCAATGGCAGTCGAGTCCTTTCTTTCTGCTTCGAATCTCTCTGAGCTGGGTCTCTCTGACTGGCCCCAGCTGGAGAAAGTTCTCTGTTTTTAAAGGCTCAAGTGATTATACGGGGTCCACTGGGATCATCTAGGATAATCTCCTGATTTTAAGCCCATAGCTTTAATTCCATTTTGCACAGTGCCTTTTGCTGTGTAAGGTAACAGTCACAGGTGTGACACCAGGGGTAAAGTTTCTGCCTTCTGCACCACCCTCCCACCAGGACAGCATGGACAACAGGGCAACAAGTGCCTTCTGAAAAGAGAGACCTTTATAGTAGCTGATGTGATCAAATGCTGCTCCAAGTTGTTAGAATCAAAAACAGAGGGAATTCCCTGGTGGCACAGTGGTTAAGAATCTGCCTGCCAATGCAGGGGACACGGGTTCAGTCCCTGGTCTGGGAAGATCCCACGTGCCGCGGAAGCCTGCATGCTAAAGCCCACACTCTGCAACAAGAGAAGCCACCACAATGAGAAGCCTGCGCACCGCAATGAAGAGTAGCCCCCGCTCGCCGCAACTAGAGAAAGCCCACACGCAGCAACGAAGACCCAACGCAACCAAAAATAAATAAATAAATAAAAACAAAAACAGAGACCAGGCTTGAAAATTCCCTGAGCAGACAACCAGTTTAGTCCTACAAACAAAGCTTAATTTAGCTTATTTTGTAAGGCTAACTCGACCTGGGTCATTTCTTCCTTATGCCTCTGAGAATCATAAGCAAAACTTAAACTGTTTCCCAAGGTTGATATGAGGTAAATACTGACCATTTCCCTATCATTTAAGAAAATTCTAATACTGTAACCAACACTGTGACGAATAAACAAACCATCACCACTTTGCCACCATACAAGATGCTTTGTAGCAGTGTACCCCTGAGCCTCAGTCCATGCTTTGGTTTGAGTGCTCCCGGTTTCCAAACTGTCTTTTTGGTGTGTATTCATTACTTCTTGGGTGATTCATTGTTCTTACTTTGACTGTTTATGAACTGTTGACAAGGCACTCTATGCATTACATCCTTACAGAGCTCTTGTAATGACAACAGGAGCCCTAAGAGCTGGGAGAGCCCCAGACCCTGTGGTCTCAGGCCTGTGCGACAGTGCACCCTGAAGAGAAGATACCCTGTAGGAAGCACTGGGCCCGGCTTCTGAGCACTCTGCCCTTTAGAAATGAGAAGGGCCTGAACCGTGGTGCTGTCTGCCCTGGTCTGACTGCCTGTACTTTCTTTAGGTCATTTAACTTTGACTTTCTAATCATCTCTCGTACTACTTTTATAAACATCTTTGGTTGTGCCACGCTGCAAATGATTCCATGTTTACACCCCTTTTTCCTCCCCCATACAGATGCATATCCTAATTCTGAAGTTGTCTATGTCTGGACCAATGGCACAACCAAGTCGGTTGTGGTGGCAGAAGATGGCTCCAGGCTGAACCAATACCACCTGATGGGGCAGACAGTGGGCACAGAGAACATCAGCACCAGCACAGGTAAGCCTCACCCCCCATTCAGGGGCGCACACCCTGGGAGAGCCCAGGACTCTCCTTAGCCACCCGGGCCTGTCGTGCTGTGCTGGCCACAAGGAACCTTCCACATCGGGCCCCCTCCCTCCAGCCGCACATGGAGGCATCAGCTGTGGCATCCTGGCATTAAGGATCATGAGAGCATTAATCTGAGGTGCATTTGCCTCCATGTGAGCAGCCCTGGTGACCGCAGGCCCTGGCCGGAGGCTTCATGGACCTACTTATATAACATAGTCCTGCCCAAGCACTGAGACATGAGGGCAGCAGCCTCTGCAGGAAAGGTAGAGAGCTTCCTGCAAATACTCTCATTTACCTGTTCTGCTATCTCCCCACTTTGAACATTTCAGAGGTTTTCCTGGGGTTGAATTTGGGAAGCACAACCGGGCACCATAGAAATAGCTGAGGCTTTAGCAAGTGCTGTCACACCCGCAGGCACAGGGCTGGCCTGAGCCCGCAGGGCAGCACAAGCCAGGCTTCACCTGACACAAAGTGGGCAGGGTGTCCAAAGGAACACAACGCGTTCCCTTCTTGCACCTACAAGGGGTGTCCTCAGACACCTCCTGGCCACAGGAAGCCCAGCCCTAGAGGTCATGGTCACAAGCTTGGCTGTGAGCAGGGGAGGGTCCTGCAGGGCTTCTCATGGCAGGAGAAATGTAGAACAGGGATGGAGAAAGTCCTGCTTGCAACATGAGTTCTAAGCCTCAAATGTTATCCTGGTCAGCGTCACTCTGTCAGCATCACCACCCCCTGGAGCTGGCTGGAAGCACAGGGACGTGCAGTGCATGCCTCCTCTCACACAGGCACTCAGTGTCCGTCCACTGGCGTGGGCTGGCATCCTGGGGAAAGGGCCTGGCAGGGCTGGGAGGAGGCTGCTGTGCCATGTGATTACCGTGTTAAAGGCAAGGGAAGAGAAAGCAGACCTGATTTTATGGGAACAAGTGAAAAGGTGGCACGGCAGAGGTTTGGGGTTAAGAATTGCAATGCTAATGGAGGGTGCTACAGTTGGGAGTCGTTTCATGTCGTTCTTTAAAAATTTATAAATGGGTTTCTGCTCTATTTGCATTCCAAAAAGATGGTCTTTTTTTGAACATTATCTTATATTGTTATCCTCAACTCAAAAATAGAATGAAAAGAACCACCACAACAAAAGAATTACAAGTAGGAGAGTAACTTCAAATCCTAATGCAAAGAAACAGAATGGCATTTTCCCTCTTCTCAAGAATTGAGAGGCAAAATTGGATCATGATAAAGATGTCTTTGCTACTAAACATATCTTGCCCCCCTTCTCTCTGTCCCTGTCTCCTTCTGCTAGGCCTGAGCCTATTCCCCTCCTCTCACATGCTCTCATCTGCCTGGGGCTGTGGGGAGGGCGTGGTGCATCTTGGCCCTGAGGGAATTTTGGTCTCCTCTTCTGTAAGAGGGCAGAGTTTGCCACATATGATCTTAACTCATGCTGTGAGAAAAGGCACGTAGGGACACATCCACAGCTGGCCTTGCTGAGCACTGGGCTTTGAATCCAACAGCAGGCGTCCGAGCTATGTAATCAGTCTCAAATGTCTCAACATTCTGCCCATGCAGCCAGCCGACCACCCTCGAACAGATGGCCCCACCAGGGGTCTACCTTAGCAGAGACCCCAGGCCCTTCCCCCCACATTCACAGTTCCACCAGGCTCCCTGGCCACACCATCTACTTGTTGCAATTCAGCTGAAGAACTCTTGTCCTCAGATCAACTCAGCTCTGCCTCCACCTCTCAAAGCATCCTTCCCATCTCCCCAGGGAGATGCAAATTCACACAGCAAAGGAGACTCTGTCTAACACACCCTCCCACCGCAGCTGCCTTGGCTCCTTACCAGTTCACCATCAGGGCAGCATCGTTCTCCGCAACGAAGGGGAGGTCTGCACTCGCCTCCCACACAGCCAGCCAGATCCAGAGAAGGCACTGGGGCATCGCCAAGGAAATGCCCTCACTCTCTCTGTGGACCAGCGGAAGCTCAGAGTGGCCAGCACCAGTGGCCTCCGGAGGCTGTTGCTCCTCACCCCCAAGCCGGCTGAGGGGGCACAGAGCCTGTGGGGAAGTGGTAGCCCCCCACTCCTTCCAGCCCTCCCTGGCTGGGAAATGAGGAGAAAACAATCCGCCCACGACAGGGCTCTGTGATGTCCTGAGTTACATCTGGAGAGGCTAAATCCTGAAATCCTGATGGCAGTAGCAGTGAGGGGGGCAGGTGGAGAGTGGCATAGATTGTGACCAGGGATTAGGAGAACACACAAATCTGATTTTCCCCAGCAAAGCATCCACCAGCAGAGGCTCTTCAGAGGCTGGGAGTCAAAAAACTTACTTATAAAATGACCGTTAAGAAATCCATGCATCCTTCAGCCTCTCCTTCACCCAAACAATACAAATAAATGCTTGTCCAAAGGGAGGGTGGAGAGAAGGGAAGCTCCGGGGCTCTGACCAGGGGCAGGAACCACAGGGCAGGACTGTAGGGTTTCATTTAGGTGGCTGACTGCAGTAATTTGTTCATTTGCAGGTGAATACACAATCATGACGGCTCATTTCCATCTGAAGAGGAAGATCGGGTACTTTGTCATCCAGACCTATCTCCCCTGCATAATGACTGTGATCTTGTCGCAAGTGTCCTTTTGGCTGAACCGAGAATCAGTTCCAGCCAGGACAGTGTTTGGTGAGTGTCCCCAAGCCAGGCCTGTGACTGCCTCTAACACCCCAAAGACAGCAGCCTCAAAGTCCCTAGTGCTGCCTGTCTATTCTGTGACCTAGAAAACAAACAGACCAGTTAGTTATGAATTCAGTGTTAAAGAGTAGATTTAGGGCTGCTCTCTGAACCAGGGTTCAGAGCAATTCGATCACTGTTTCCCTTTTGAAAAGTCTTTCACTAAGAGCCTTTTTTTTTTTTTTTTTTTTTGAGGTTTGAAATTGCCAGCAATCTGTGTTATGTGGGATTTTGCTACGGTATTTTCACAAGTCTCATAAAGTACTGTTTTCTATGTTATCAGGCAGTTTTCTTTGAAATGTGCATGCCACTTTAAAATTAACTCCCAAGTGGCAGTCAATATGTTACATGTGATATGATAGTAATAGATTAAATGTATATAAAATATAATATATATTACCTTATGTATATATAAATGTAATATATATGAGATATACATACGTACGTATGACACATGTATATATGTATACATATATATGATAAGAATTTAGAAAATTATCTGACATCCTTGAGACATAAATCAAGTTTAGCAAGATCCAGCTCAGGAGGTACCTTAGCACAGCAGACATGGTTGAGTGTTTGACTTTTACGTGGAAGCTCATTTCATCAAAATCAATGTTAGAAGTAATTTCGTGGGTCAGTTGTAATGGATGCTCACATCTTTCTAAACTGTAAAGTACTATTCCCGCCTCAGCTTTTCCTATTGCACTGTCCCTTCCAAAGAAGGAAAACATGCCCTGCATTTCCCGCCAGTGCTCCTGTAGGTGGAGGAAGCCGGGGGAGCCTCGGGATTTCCAGTGAGGGCCCAGGATTGCTCCTGTCTGACCATCTCTCTACCTCGAGCCACATACCCAGCTTCACCTGCCTCACCTGATTTAGCTTCAGGAGGGTGTGGAGGTTGGCTTGTGGCCAGGCAGTGCTCCCCCAGCTCTTTAGGGGAGCATTAGTAGGTGGGCAAGGAAAAAGATTTAGTTTGGAGAATGCCCTATATTCCAGTCTGCTTCCTCTTAGAGATTCTCAAAGCACATTAGGATGTTAAAGGACTCAAGGAGACACAAGAAGCCTGTTCAAGGTCACACACAGAACACTTCTCTCCAGCACAATGATTAACTGGATTTCTAAGAAAAATCAAAGATGACTACCGATTTCTCATTTAGCGTTAATTCCATGCACAGTACCGTGTTCAGTGAGGGTATATAAATACCTCTGAAAGATGACACTGAATGAAGACTAAGCTGCTATGACCACCAGCAACATGACACTCTTTTGGTGCTCTTTCCTGAGGCTGCCCTAACAAAGTACCACACACTGAGTGCTTAAGCAATAGAAATTAACTCTCTCACAGTTCTGGAGGCTACAAGTCCAAAATCAGCAGAGTTCGTTTCTTCTGAGGACTGTGAGGGAAGGCTCTGTTTCTGGCCTCTCTCCCAGTTTCTGGTACTTCCTTGGCCTGTGGCAGCATAATTCCAGTCTTCATGTGCTGTTCTCCCTGTGTGTGTGTGAGAGAGATACCAGTCATATTGGATTAAGGCCTACCCTAATGACCTCATTTTAACTTGATTACTTCTGTAAAGACCATATTTCCAAGTAAGGTCTGGAAAGTAAATCTGAGGTTCTGGAGATTAGGAATTCAACTTATGCATTTGGGGGGGGGGTACACAGTTCCACTCATAACAGGTGTGTTGCACCCACACCCCATACACATACTTGCACCTTTCTGCAAACAAAACTGCAGTAAGAAGAAAGACACAGAGCATGTGGAAACTACATGGGCTGTAAGGGTTCAGCAGACCTGGGTCCCAGTACAGGTTCTCATTTGCCAGCTGGCGAATTTGGGTACATTACTATTTTTAAATCTTTAAGCTCCTCACTTGCAAAATGGGGATAATGACACCCATTCAGAATGTAGCTTAGATCAGAGTCTGGCCCTTAATAGATGCCCGTTAGAGGCTTATATCGTCCCCTTCCGAGGATCCAGACTTCCTTTATGGTCACTGCAAATTTCCCCAGAAGACAAGGCAGATGGCTACAGGCATCTTGCATGGCAGCATCAAGGTGGCCCAGATCCTTGTTAGAAGGAGTGAAGTGCCAAGACCCAGATTCAGATGTGGTGCTTCTGTTGCACTCTGGTCCTCGGAGTCTGCATGCTGCGTTAATCCATGTGAAAGCAAGCCTGTCTCATCAGTTTTTTGGAGCCCACGACTTGTAAGGTGCACAGTGAGTCTTTGTGAAGCACTTCGTTAGAGCGGTGGGAACGTTCTTGCCCTTCTCAGCTGGACTTGCCTTGGGGCCACTAAGATGCCCCACTCCTCTGACGCATCCTTGTTGAGCACCAGCTCTCTGCAGGGTCAGGTCAGGACAACGGGGACACAGTTAGAGTATGTGTATGAATCAGACCCAAATCCCTGCCCACCTCGATTTATGTTCTAGAGGAAGGAGACGATTGACAAGGTAAATAAACTAAGCAGTGTTTTAAATGCTATGAATGTGTTGTGCTGTGAAAATTGTAGAGGGAGCAGGAGACCTAGGCTGGGGATTAAAGTGATAGTTCCTTTCTTTCTTTGTCACGTTCAGGGGTGTTATACTGGGGTCCAGTGCTGGTGCTGATCCTTGTTCCCATTGACCCCACCCCTGTCATTGACAACCACAGGGGTGACCACGGTGCTGACTATGACGACCCTCAGCATCAGTGCCCGGAACTCTCTGCCCAAAGTGGCTTATGCGACGGCCATGGACTGGTTCATAGCCGTGTGCTACGCTTTTGTGTTCTCTGCGCTGATCGAGTTTGCCACCGTCAACTATTTCACAAAGAGAGGCTGGGCCTGGGATGGCAAAAAAGCCTTGGAAGCAGCCAAGATCAAGGTACTGACTTCATTTTCCTCCATACTCCAGAGAAAATGTGCCTGATTTTATGTCCAAGTATAAGACCAGGTGTTTGTTTTCCCTACATCCCTCCCCCTGAAAAATGATTTCTTCCCTTATACTCAAGGTCCTTACAAAGTCTTATAACAGGTCTTGTTTTACCTTTATTTTGAATCACCAGCTTCATTCAAGGGAAAGGTCTGATATCAGGCCTATTACTTTTGCTAAAGTACCTTCTGTCTGTTCAGGGACTATTTATCCAGTTTTGAATGGTACAGTCAATTCTTCTGCTCACTCTTGCCACTTCACCATGCAGCGTGTCTTCTGCAAGGTGGCTTGAAGGTCATGAAGGGAGCATTCGAATTATTGGGAGCGACACAACAGGCAAACACACCCAATTCCACTGATGAGATGATTTGTCTTGCTTAAATGATGCACGTGAGTTATTGTGGGAAGCATTTCTCTATTCAAAGCAATTAAGTGCTGAGTATTTAGAGGGAGGTCGGTGCCTGAATCTAAAAAATATTTGAAGAAAAAAGGTTGCACAACATTCCAACCTGAACCAGATCCTTGGGGAAAAGAAAATAACATACATGGAATAGAAAATAAATAGCACATGGTAAAGTGCTAAGTATGCCACATTTAAAACAAACAAGTCCTTTGCTCTGAGAGAGGAACAGGCCAGACTTATCAGGGTAGACTTGAAAGTGAAACTTCATCTGTCCTTTGGAAATCATCATGAAGGGAGTCTGGAAGGCCCTACCGGAGACTGTGCCCCAAACCCGTGACTACACCAGGATACTCTGCTGCTGCTGAGGGCACTCAGCTGTGTGCACCCATGGCCCCTCCGGGAAGAAGGGAAGCAGGGAGATGCCTGGGGAGGGCCTTGACAAGCAGGAATCTCATGAGGGGGTGTGTTTTGGGGGATGATGGGGGACAGGAGTGAGCTGACAGCAGCAGGCGATTGGTGGGAAGCTGAGAAAACATGGCAGAGGCAGGGCGTCTTCAGACTGTGGGAATTCTGGACTGAAGTGTCCCAACAGACAGAACCATGGAGGATGTTTGTTGGGGGACATGGAGTCTGGAGAGAGGGGCTTCCCGACACCCAACACTGTGTTGCCAGGAAGTAAATGTTTGCTACAGGCCTGGAGACAGCCTCCCTGAGCCTGAGCGGGCAGCCGCCTGGGAGGTGCTGCAGGAATTGAGGCCATCAGGCTCGTGTCTGTGAGTCTAGGAGGAAGGTGGAACCCAGGGGCAATGGAGAGTTCTTGAAGGTTGTCGAATGGGCTGTCATCATCATCGGCCACCTCGCTTGCTCACACTCAGCCTCAGTGTCCTTATTACTCATCACAGATCTGAATGCAGACCTGGAGGGAGAGGAGGACATGGAGGTAACTGGCTCATGTAATCTCAGATTAGCACTGATCTCCTAGAAGACTAGGTGTTGTCCCCCAAGGCTATGGTGCTGGGGATACCATCCCTTAGGCCAGTGGAGGCATCGAGGCATCTGCAGGTATCCCGGCAGGCAAGTCATACTGTTACACACGGTGGTGAGCATGAATAAGTAAGTATAGCGTTACTGGTTTTTACTTAGAAGTGGAGAAAATTTGAACACCAGACTGTGTTCACCATCATTACCTGTTGGGATCTTCAGAGTTGGGAATGCAAGATGGTTTTTAGGGGTGGACACCTGTGAAAGGACAGAGGAAGGAGTTGAAGTTGACCGTGTAGGGAACTGTCTGCCCTCAGCTGGGCAGCAAGTCATCCCGGAAGGAGGACAGAGGCACATCTCTGGACCACTGTGGCCACCCTGAGTCCTGTTTGAAACACCCACTTCTGAGACCCATCATTCTCTCCTCCAGTGTCTGCTCTGTCCTGTTACACCCAGAGACAAAGGCCGTGCAAACCACTGAGGTAGCTAGTCCATCATGCTGATGGGCTTCTTCTGGCAGACGAGTAGGGGTGTGTGCATGGCACCATGGGGGCTGCAAAGAACCGTACCATTTCTGAGGAGTGGCCCACAGACCCTGCTCTGCTCTGACGCTGTGGTCACCCTCACTGTGGCCCCGGGGTCATTGTGCTCCCTGCATCTGGGTACATATGCACTCTTATTCCACCTCACTTTTCACTGCTTCTTCTTGCTCCTTCTCCATGCACTTCCTCTCTGCTTTTCATCTTTCACATATTTTTTAACATCTTTATTGGAGTATAATTGCTTTACAATGGTGTGTTAGTTTCTGTTTCATAACAAAGTGAATCAGTTATACATATACATGTATCCCCATATCTCTTCCCCCTTGTGTCTCGCTCCCTCCCACCCTCCCTATCGCACCCCTCTAGGCGGTCACAAAGCACCGAGCTGATCTCCCTGTGCTATACAGCTGCTTCCCACTAGCTATCTATTTTACATTTGGTAGTGTATATATGTCCATGCCACTCTCTCACTTTGTCACAGCTTACCCTTCCCCCTCCCCATATCCTCAAGTCCATTCTCTAGTAGGTCTGTGTCTTTATTCCTGTCTTAACCCTAGGATCTTCATGACATTTTTTTTTCTTAAATTCCATATATATGTGTTAGCATATGGTACTTGTTTTTCTCTTTCTGACTTACTTCACTCTGTATGACAGACTCTAGGTCCATCCACCTCACTACAAATAACTCAATTTCGTTTATTTTTATAGCTGAGTAATATTCCATTGTATATATGTGCCACATCTTCTTTATCCATTCATCTGTTGATGGGCACTTATGTTGCTTCCATGTCCTGGCTATTGTAAATAGAGCTGCAATGAACATTTTGGTACATGACTCTTTTTGAATTATGGTTTTCTCAGGGTATATGCCCAGTAGTGGGATTGCTGGGTCGTATGGTAGTTCTATTTGTAGTTTTTTAAGGAACCTCCATAGTCTCTGTATCAATTTACATTCCCACGAACAGTGCAAGAGGGTTCCCTTTTCTCCACACCCTATCCAGCATTTATTGTTTCTAGATTTTTTGAGGATGGCCATTCTGACCGGTGTGAGATGATATCTCATTGTAGTTTTGATTTGCATTTCTCTAATGATTAATGATGTTGAGCATTCTTTCATGTGTTTCTTGGTAATCTGTATATCTTCTTTGGAGAAATCTCTACTTAGGTCTTCTGCCCATTTTTGGATTGGGTTGTTTGTTTTTTTGATATTGAGCTGCATGAGCTGGTTGTAAATTTTGAGATTAATCCTTTGTCAGTTGCTTCATTTGCAAATATATTCTCCCATTCCCAGGGTTGTCTTTTGGTCTTGTTTATGTTTTCCTTGGCTGTGCAAAAGGCTTTAAGTTTCATTGGGTTCCATTACTCTAGGAGGTGGGTCAAAGTGGACCTTGCTGTGATTTACGTCGTAAAGTGTTCTGCCTATGTTTTCCTCTAAGAGTTTGATAGTGTCTGGCCTTATATTTAGGTCTTTAATCCACTTTGAGTTCATTTTTGTGTATAGTGTTAGGGAGTGTTCTAATTTCATTCTTTTACATGTAGCTGTCCAGTTTTCCCAGCACCACTTATTGAAGAGACTGTCTTTTCTCCACTGTATATTTTTGCCTCATTTATCAAAGATAAGGTGACCATATGTGTGTGGGTTTATCTCTGGGCTATCTATCTTGTTCCATTGATCTATCTTTCTATTTTTGTGCCAGTACCATACTGTCTTGATTACTGTAGCTTTGTAGTATAGTCTGAAGTCAGGAAGCCTGATTCCTCAAGCTCCGTTTTTCTTTCTCAAGATTGCTTTGGCTATTCGGGATCTTTTGTGTTTCCATACAAATTGTGAATTTTTTTGTTCTAGCTCTTTGAAAAATGGCAGTGGTAGTTTGATAGGGATTGCATTGAATCTGTAGATTGCTTTGGGCAGTATAGTCATTGTCACAATGTTGATTCTGCCAATCCAAGAACATGGTATATCTCTCCATCTATTTGTATCATCTTTAATTTCTTTCATCAGTGTCTTATAGTTTTCTGCATACAGGTCTTTTTTCTCCTTATGAAGATTTACTCCTAGGTATTTTATTCTTTTTGTTGCAATGGTAAATGGGAGTGTCTCCTTAATTTCTCTTTCAGATTTTTCATCATTAGTGTATAAGAATGCAAGAGATTTCTGTGCATTAATTTTGTACCCTGCTACTTTACCAAATACATTGATTAGCTCTAGTAGCTTTCTGGTAGCATCTTTAGGATTCTCTGTGTATAGTATCATGTCATCTGCAAACAGTGACAGCTTTACTTCTTCTTGCCGATTTGGATTCCTTTTATTTCCTTTTCTTCTCTGATTGTTGTGGCTAAAACTTCCAAAACTATGTTGAATAATAGTGGTGAGAGTGGGCAACCTTTTCTTGTTCCTGATCTTAGTGGAAATGGTTTCAGTTTTTCACCTTTGAGGATGATGCTGGCTGTGGGTTTGTCATGTATGGGCTTTATTATGTTGAGGTAAGTTCTCTCTATGACTACTTTCTGGAGGGTTTTTATCAAAAATGGTGTTGAATTTTGTTGAAAGCTTTCTCTGCATCTATTGAGATGATCATATATTTTTCCCCCTCAGTTTGTTAACATGGTGTATCACATTGATTGATTTGCGTATATTGAAGAATCCTTGCATTCCTAGGATAAATCCCACTTGATCATGGTGTATGATCCTTTTAATGTGCTGTTGGATTCTGTTTGCTAGTATTTTGTTGAGGATTTTTGCATCTATGTTCATCAGTGATATTGGCCTGTAGTTTTCTTTCTTTATGACAGCTTTGTCTGCTTTTGATATCAGGGTGATGGTGGCCTCGTAGAATGAGTTTGGGAGTGTTCGTCCCTCTGCTATATTTTGGAAGAGTTTGAGAAGGATAGGTGTTAGCTCTTCCCTAAATGTTTGATAGAATTCGCCTGTGAAGCCATCTGGTCCTGGGCTTTTATTTGTTGGAAGATTTTTAATCACAGTTTCAATTTCAGTGCTTGAGTTTGCTCTGTTCATATTTTCTATT